GAGTTCTAGTTGGGCTTTTGCCTTTCTAATTTCCTCTCTGCATGACCTGACAAGATCCCTGTACTCTTCTTGGGTTGCCTGTCCCTTCTTCCAGAGCTGGTAAGCTCTCCTTTTTTCCCCTGAGTCTCGGCCAGTGTTCTAAACAGGCCAGAGACTGCCCCCCAGCAGTCCATGGCGGTGGTTTTGCTGACCCCCTTCCTTACCTCACCAAAAATTGAAAACTCTACCATTTCATGATCACTAAGGCCAAGACGACCTCCAACCACAACCTCTCCCACCAATCCTTCTCTGTTAGTGAACAGGAGGTCAAGCAGAGCACCTCCCCTGGTAGGCTCCCTTACCAGCTGTGTGAGGAAGTTATCTTCCACACACTCCAGGAACCTTCTGGACTGTTCCCTTTCTGCTGTGTTTTATTTCCAGCAGATGTCTGGTAAGTTGAAGTCCCCCACAAGAACAAGAGCTCGCGACTGAAACACTTCTGCCAGCCACTTGTAGAATACTTCGCCAACAAGCTTCTTATCCCTAGTGTTAGGTGCTTTGAAACAGAAGTTACATGGTAAGAAAAACCCATTTCCATTGTTGCACCTCATGGTTGGAGTAAGCCAGGAGGGAGCTTGTGTTGCCTTGCAGGTGTCCTTCCAGGAAGGAAAGCTTCCTAATTAGAGTAAACACCAGAATGGCAAGGACAGCTTTGGTGAAGGTTTGCAAAGGATGTTGCTCATTCTTTGAGTCTCTTTTGAGAGAGAAGTGTCTCATCCAGCATGCTTCTCTCCTCCACCCCTTTTCTTCCGTAAGGTCCTCAGGAAGATTCGATATCTGAGTTTAAAATACCTTGAGGGCTTTTTTCCGAGCCAGTCTTTTTATCTGTGCACTGTACAAGTTCCAACACACACCTGAGTGGAAGGGGAAAGATGCTAGCAAATAGGTAATTAATTTGATTCTTTGGGATGATCTAGAAAGTGTCAGGAAGACCAATGTCACCTTAAAATTAAATCTCTGTACCTTCAGAAGGGGGTATAGTATCAGAGACTTACCTTGCATTCCTTTTCTCATTATTAATAGTGTCTACAATTTACATTTTATTAACCCCTGTAAGTAT